AGCCGAAGCAGCGCTCAAAGCAGCGCTCAAAGCAGCGCTTCAAAAAGCCGCGCCGCAGGCATTGTTTTGGAGAAAAATGTTGGGTTCGGCAGGTACTCCTTTCCTACCCTCCCTCCCGGAATCCCTGCAAGTTGATCTTTCCAAATACCCTCCTATGCCTTCTGGAAGGGTAAGTGAACCGCGGACACCAAGCAGCACAAAAATTTGGGTACCCCTCTCAATGCGGGTTCTCAGTAGGGAATGAGGGAATGACCCCAACCATCCCTTGTACTTTCCTGTCAGGGGATCCCAAGCAGTTCATTCCCAAAACCTTTTTGGTTCCCTACTGAGAACCTGCAAGTGAATGGCTTCTAGGCCACGATCACAGTGCCTTCGAATGCCAGGCCCTTGCCTACCACGGCCGCCAGCGATCGGTAAGAAAGCGCCAAGCTGCATTCAAGCCATCCAGCCCTTCGAGAAGAAAAATCCCCAGCCCTTCGAGAAGAAAAATCCCCGACCTCCGGACCCCTTCGAACAACGGCGCCCTTTTTTGGGGGACCCCTAGGAGTCAGGCGAGTTCCTTTCCTAGTCTGAGATAGCTCTGGCCCTGAGGCAACCAGGACAAGACTTTTGTCTGGCAGAGCCCTGAGTCACTGAGTCACTCGGACTTCGACTCGCCGAGCGCGGAGGCGTGCCGAGTTGGACATGCCTGGACTTGGCGGTTGCGACGTGCATGCTCCCCTGAAATGAGCGGTTGAAAACATGGCAAGGCCGCGCGCCCTTCACCAGAGTGCCCCTTGTGATGGGTGCAATTCCTTCCATTTGCTTGAGCCCCCTGGAAATAGAAATGTGTCCGGTAGCTATAGACTCATAGATTCCCTTTAAGACCAACAGGGGAAATACAAGGACATATGGTTTCAAGCAAATGGAGAAGACTTCTTCTGATGGCGGCAGATACACCTGACCTAGCGGCTTCAATCCAGCATACCCATGATCAAGGACCGCAGATAGTTGTTCTTTGCGGCGAGTGCTTGCAGCTCCGCATGCTTGACATGTGGCTCGGCACCCATCATTTGCTGGAGCAGAATCTTGTACCTCAGTGGCTTGTTGATCTCTTGCCAAAAGGGACCATCGTTTAGTGAAAAATGTCATAAATCCAACTCTAACCTCTAAAAGTCGAAAAGCGTAAGAGTCTGAAGTGTAAAAGTTTACAACCTCTACAAGTCCAAGTCCAAAGGTCTAAATACTTAACAAACAAAATGAAAGGTCCAACAATGAAAAGTATGAAAGTATAAAAAGTCCAAACGTCTACAATTTCAAAAGCCAAAAGTCTAAAGTCTAAAAGTCTAAACATCAAAGAAAATATACAAGTCTAAAAGTGAAAAAGTCTAAAAATCAAACTCCAAACGTCTACACGTCTGAAGTCCAAAAGTCTAAAAATCCAAAAGTTTAAAAGTCTACAAGCCCAAAAGACTAAAAAACACATAAAAAGTCTACGCATCCGCAAGCCTGAACGTCCAAAAGGCTACAGTCTGAAGTCTAAAAGTCCAAACCTCTACAAGTCTAGAAGTCTAGTCTAAAGGTCCAAAAGTCCAACAAGTATAAAAAGTCCAAAAAGTCAAAAGTGCAAAAGTCGAAAAGTCCAAAGGTGTAAAGGCTAAACATGCAAAAGTCCAAAAGTCGACAAGTCTACAGACGAAAACTCCAAAAATCAAACATCCAAAAGTCCAAACGACGAGTCTAAAGTCTGAAAGTATCAAAATGCAAGTCTCAAAAACAGTTAAAGACTAAAACTAAAAGTCTAACATCAAAAAGTCCAAAAGTCCAACCGTCTAAAACTTGTTCTTTAAAAAAATAAATAATAAATAAATAAAAAAGTCTAAGAGTCTAAAAGTCTACAAGTCTAAAGTTCAAAGTCAAAAAAAGAGTCTGCCAAGCGTCTACAATTCCAAGGTCTAAAAGTCCAAAACTCCAAAAGTCTACAAGTCCAAAAGTCTAGACGTCCGAACATCTACAAGTAAGTCTAAGTGTCCGAGAGTCTACACACCTAAAGTCTAAAAGCCGAAAAAGTCTGAAAGTCTCTAAAGTCTGAATAACACAGTCCACACGTCTACAGGTCTCAAGCCTAATAATGCAAAAGTCCCAATGTCTACAAGTCCGCAAGTCCAAAAGTCCAAAAATCCAAACGTCTACAAGTCTAAAAGACAAAAGTCTCAAAGCCCAATCAGTTCAATCGTCCACAAGTCCAAAAGCCCAAAAATCCAAAATCCAAAAGTCCACAAGTCTAAAGTCTAAGAGCCCAAGAGCCTAAAAGTCTAAAAGTCTAAAAGTCTAAAAGTCTAAAGTCCACAATGAAAGTATGAAAGTTTTAAAGTCCAAACGTCTACAAGTCCAAAAGTCCAAGAAAGAACAAGAGGAACAGGGATCCTTACACTATACACCTGAACATTGCCTTGTAAATGGTGGTGTTTTTTTGGGGTGTTGAAAAAGCCACATGTTTCAAACGGTTGCAAAATGGAGATCTTTTAAGGAGCCCTGAGGAACTGCTGGGGATTTGGCCGAGGTACTTGTCCCGGGTGTTCTTCCGAGGCCTTTTGCCGGGAAGGCTCTCATGCGTGTGACAGAAGCCACAGACCTGCAGTGAGTGAATTGGGGGGGGGGAAGTCGAGTCAGGCGCCCTGACGTTCAGCTTTCCCGGTTTTATTTGTTGTTGTTTTTCTTGTTTTTGTGTGTGTGTGTGTTTTTGTAATAAATACTTTTTTTGGAGCTTGGGTGGGTTCCCGTTTTCCCTCCACAAGGTCCGGGCGAAATCCCACCAATCCGAACCAATGACGAACTTGAGATGTGAGTGTGGCTCAAAAAGTAGAACCCCAAAAAAATGGAATCCTCTGAAAACGTCGACTGCTGCGTTTTTTGGCCAGAAAAATAGGTCTGGGCGACTTGATCAGGGAGCCTGCCTTTGGAGATGTGACGTGATGTCGTGTGATGTCACTTGGGCCAACATCAAAGACAGCCGAAAGCGCAGCTGTAAACACATGGTGAGGATTCTTTGCGAGGCTTTGGTCGTACTTGTGCATCGAGGCAAGTTGCCACCAAGAGATCCTTTTTGGTGATGTTGAACATCTTCTTTCGGTTCAATGTGAAGTAGGCTAGCTTTTCGCTGATAGTCTTCTGTATATTTTTTTCGGGGGGGAGGCGGGTATTTGCAGGGTGGTCCTGACTAGAGTGGAAGAATAGATGGCCCAAACATCTCGGACTCGTCTTATTCCAACCTCCTCAATCGGATTCAGCAAAAGGACCACGCACCCTCTTTGGGCAATGTGCAGTCAAAGTTTGTGTAGGGGCAACTTCTGAGAGTAGCATGGCAATGCGAAAGGACTGAGTTGCACCTCTGGCTACGCTGGTTGAATTTTGGGTCTTGGCCTGAATACGAATACTGCTGAATTTAACGTTGCTTTTTACCGGTTTGGGTGGTGCTTGGTGGTTGCTGGTCTCAATTCCTGCCCATAGTGCGAGCATTTGGAAAGGAACCCCGCCGTCCTCCCCTGGTGCAACATGCCCCAAACATGAAAGCTTGAGATACTCCCTGCCTCTGCTTGACAGCCGCGGCGGGAGGCGAAGAATAAGCAAGGGTTGCAGCTTGCGCTCCTGGCTCCGCTCCTGCAAAATAAAGTGAAACTTCGAAACGTTGTCACCTAAGAGTGCGACCATTGTAGTCTGCGTTTCTTTTACATCGTTCCACGTTAATTTGCAGAAGATATCAGGACGCAAGAGAACCTTCGCCACGGAGTCAAAAGATGGGAAAGCTGCCCCGAAGGACATTTGAAAATGCGGGGTCCATGCAGCTGCTATCCGTGGTTGAATTTTAGAGCTCGTCCCCCAACGTCCCGAACACCCAAATTAACCATCCATCCGGCATTCTCAAACGGTGGGTTTACCTTGGCTTCCCATTGCACCTATAGGAGGATATGAACATGTTGCCAATCAGAAACCACTTGGATGTTCAACCTACTGTTACATGGTGGGTTTCTCACATGCTAAGCGGTGCAACTGGGGGTGGTTCCCATGCCATGCTTTTTACCGACTTACCAACTCGGTTAACCCGGGGTAAAAAGTGTCCAAAAAGGCTGCCAAGACTCGAATGAACCGTTGCGTCATCCGTGCGAGTGGTTCCGGTGCTGTCCGTTGAAGAGAAGGGCACCTCAGGCAAGAGTGGGCGAAATAGGTTTCAACACCCGAAAGAACCCCATTAAGGGTCAGCCAAACTTGGGCAAAGACGAGGGGACTGGGTCTGACGGGGATGCGAGCCGATTTTGAATCTGCTTAAGCCAGAATCGCTCCGCATCCTGCCTCTGACACGAAGCTTGTCAGCATCTGCCCTGTCTCATCGGAAAGCGAAGCGGGAAGGGACGAAAGCTCTGCATCTGATAAGATCATCAGGTTTCGGGCATCCTTCCCAAAGTGCTCGTCAGACCAGCTCTGGCTCCTCTCCGGATTCAGTTGCCAAAGCCAGCCATTCTTGGGTTGAACATTTCAAACGCTGGCTTTCCCTTGGCTTGCCATTACACCTATGGAAGGACATGAACATGTTGCCAATCAGAAACCACTTGAATGTTAAACCTACTGTTACTTGGTAGGCTAGACACATGCTATGCGGTGCAACTGGGGGTGTTTCCCATGCCACGCTTACTACCCACTTACCAAGTCGATTGAACTTCCGGGTAAAAAGTGTCCAAAAATGCCAAGACTCGAATGAAGCGCTAGATCATCCGCGGGAGTGGACGTGCTTCCAGTGCTTTCCGTTGAAGAGAAGGCCACCTCAGGCAAGAGTGGGCGAAATAGGTTTCATCACCCGAAAGACCCCACTAACGATCAGCCAAACTTGGGCAAAAGCGAGGGGACTGGGTCTGCTCGGGGATGCGAGCCGCTTTTGGTGGCGTCATCGTTCCCGCCTCTGACACGGACTTCGTCAGCGTGTACCCTGTCTCCCCAAGGGGAAGCAAAGCGGGAAGCGGAGGGAGCTCCGCATCTGAGACGATCATCAGATGTTGAGCATCCTTGGGAAAATCCCCCGCGGACCAGCTCTGGCTCCTCGCAGAACGTCGCCGGCGCTTGCGCCCCCAATCCTTTCTTGAACAGATTGGCACCCGATAAAGCCATGTCAAAAGCCAGCCGCGTGTTTCCTTTGGTTTTGTGACCTGAGTCTGTGATGAAACTCAGGAGACCGGTTCACACCAAACAAAATTTCAGTTTGCCAACTCAGCGGGTTCCACCCCACTTTCTAGAGGAACTGTCCTTTTGGGGGACCTCAAACGTGGGGGGGGGGGGCAAGCAAATGTTTATGCGATTTGGGGAACGAAGTTAAGAGGATGCAGCCGTGGGAAGTGCCAGCTGAAAAGGACCACGCCGGGCGGTCCCTAAGAAAATGGTCGCTTGAACATGATCATCTTCCAAAACGGAGATTCCGTCACACGTGGATGTGTGGGGGTTCCAATATGACTTTGAGTAGAGTTCAATTTTGCCCGAAACTTACTGGTTCAATAGGTAGGACATGAGCTGGAACGGCCCCGAATGGAATCATCCCGTCTGGTTTCTGTTTAAGAAATTCTAAACGGTTCATCCTCAAACCCCCACTGAGAACCCCACTGAGAAGCGCCACTCAAACGCCGACAAAAAACAAAACAAAAAACGCGCCCGACGACTCGGAGCAAGTGCTGAACCCAACTCCTCTGGAGCTGCTGGTCCAACTTGGGGAAGCGCACCTCCAAGAAGGTGTTCTGCTCAAAGAGGATCGCCATCGCCTTACCGCTTTTCGGGAGGAGAGAAGAAGACGAGGGGCCCAGAATTTTGTTTCAAAAAAACCAACCATCCCAGAGAAACAAAGCAGGGTGGCCACCAAGCCCCAAAAATGGGGTGTCTTCTTTGAGGTATCCTTTTTGGTGGGTTTTAAAGGGGAAGCAAGAGGAAAGCCAGTTCGTTTGGGGGGGGTGCGGGAAATGACCACTTCTGCGATACAACAAAAGGGGCTTCCCAAAAACAACCCCCCCACACAAAGGGGGAGATTGCCTTGTATCACAAAAGTGGGGGGGATACAATTCTTTATCCCACAACCCTGTTGCTATGCGATAAACAAAAAGGAGAAAACAAAAAGGAAGAAGAAAAAAAACATCGATGCCATCGCACAAGCCAAGAAGCCGATGCCGTAGCAGTAGCAGATTGCACGAATTCACCACTTAGCCGGACGGCTGCAGAAGAAAAAATAGCGTGACTCCTCTCGGCTGGTTTATTATTTTGAGTGCTGTGAATAGTTACCCTGCGATACCAAAGTGAGTCATCCATATGACTGCATTTTGTCACTTGGTGATTCCCTCTGTATCCTAGAAAGTGGCCCCAAAACGAGATGCTCCACATACATGATCTCGCCTTGCTTTCCCGTACCGCAAAAAACAAATCTGAGAATGCCAACTAACAAGTCAACAGCTGGAAAAAGGCGCCAGCTGTAGGTTGAAACACGATTGGTGGCCGTACGCCCATTTAAAAACATGCTCCTTTTGTTTCCGGACAATACAAAGATGTGCACAAACCCTTGAAAAGCCAAGCTCCTTGTGCTACCTAGTTCAACACCCCAACAGGCAACGTGGCTTCCTTGGTTTCGTTTGCTGTGCAAAGCCAAGAGCTTTGGAGGAAAGAAACACAACAAGCTGAGTATCCCCTGTCGGGGGAAGGTGGGCCCTAAAGGAAACTGATCTTCCAGGAACGTGAGGTGTCCTCTGTTGGGAGTATCCCCTTCGCCTTGTTGCCCGCAATTTGGGCACCAACCCTTCGAGTCCGAGTGTCTGGCGGCTGGGAGTCAGGGAGCCCCGCAAGGGGCAGGAGGGACCGGCAAGGGGCCCAGCGCCTACCCATTTCAACCAAATAGCGAAGGCGAAACCTGCCTCTTCGGCAAGTCGCGACACAAGAGCTTGGTCCAAAAACCTGGAGCAAATAGCCACAATCAAAACCTAGTATTTGAAGCTATCCTTTACCTTCATTCACGCGGGTTCTGACTGCTCACTGTTACTTGACGTCAACTCTTCCAAATGGAGGCTCCTTTAAACACCAGTCTGCAGAACCAAACAACAAACAGGTGTTTGTCGCACAAAATGCCTTGCCTTAGTTTATAAGGTCGACTCTACTTCTGGCCGACCTGAAGCCGGTTGAGGGTTCCCTTTTTTCAGGTTGGTTTTTCGGGTTGAACTGGGGGTGCCAACCTATTCTCAGACACGCCATGCCCCTGTTCCTGGAACACCCGCTTTATCCCCTGAGCCAGGAGGGGCTGGGAAAACTGTCCGGTGCCGGCCTCGTGCGCATGTTGCGCCAGGATGGGGCCCCGGAAAAGCACGTCGCCTCGCGGGAAGCGGCTGGCCCAAGGGGAAGTGGAGGTCTTGGGGCTTGGGACGGGAAAAACCTCCCAGCCCCCCGCTCTTTCAGCTTCCATCACCAGGTTGGCGGTCCCTCAAAGTGAAGAACCGCAGAGGGAATGATGCGTTGTTCCCCCCGATGTCCGAAAAGTCGAAAGGCGAAACGTCGAAACAAAGACAACACGTTTGCTGGTCCCCAAGGATTGGAAAATATGAGGAAACCAAACCGTTCGAAAGGAAGCTGGTAGCCAATTCTGCCCGGCTGTTCGCTCATGTGTTTTGGCCAGTCGCCAAAATGCGCAAGCAAAATCTGTTTGAGGCCACACCAAAAAAAAGTACAATTGTAAAGGCGAGCCTTGGCTCAGACAATGAAAATGGCTTTTGAAGATAGCCTTCCCTTGGCTAGGCTTGGGGCCACTTGGGTCGTGACCCACCCGAAGGCGCGCGAACTGTTTTCGTGGCCACATCAAGACCTGGACCCCTCCAACTGCTTTTACGTCCTGAAAGAGCCAGCCCCCAACTTGCCTGATCCTTCTGGGTGAACTATAATATTTCCACAACCTGAAAATTGGTGGTTGGGGGGCCATTCCCCACATAAACCACCATGAGGTCGTTATAATTCACCCAGATCCTTACTCCCAGCTCGGTAGCAAAGCTGCCTTTTGGGAGTCTCCTACAGAGGTGGATTGGAACACCTGGAGCGAGCAGGATGTGCCGAAAGTTGACGCCGAGGTGCTCATGCGCGCCAGATCGTCTAGGAAAACGAAGCGCTGCCTGCGACGGGTGTCTACCCAGGGGGTCGAAGTTTCCCCCCGTCGGCGGTTCGACTTGGGGCTCTCCGGAGTCTTACGAGCGTCCAACAACAAAAAGAGAAAGAGAGACCAAGAGAGAGCTAAAGAGAAAGAGAGACAGAGAGAGTGGGCGAAGTAGAAAGAGAAAGTTTAAAGAGAAAGACACAAGAAAAGAGAAAGAAAAAGAGAAAGAGAGTAATAAAGAGAATGAGACGCAGAAAGGGAAAGACAAAGAGACAGACAAAGAGAAAGAAACTTGAGACAAGCACTACATTGCACTTGACAATTGCATTTTGTCAAAAATAAAAAGAAAGATGAATTTGAGCCGGGAACCCTCTTTGTTCAACAAAACGCCTGGGAAAATCTTGTAGATAACCCTCTCTAGGTGCCTTTTCGGCAAAACATTTCGAACTGGAAGAGTCATCAAGCTGATCTATAGTGAGGTTTCCATATGTTTGCCAAGCGGACCTAAACACAACACCCACTTCACCTTCGCACTGATCCAGTGGAACCCTTTATGAAGTTGGAAAACTGAGGGACCCCTTGTGGCCTTCAAAGAAGGAAAACCTGAACGACTCCCAACCAACCAACCAACCAACCAAACCAAACCAAATCAAACCAAACCAAACCAAACCAAACCAAACCAAACCAACCAGGGAACCTTCCCCCCCACCCAAACCAGGAGGGGAAGAAGGGTGCGGATGTTTTTTGGGATTTGTTTTTTAGTTTTGTTTTGGGATTTCTTTCGTTTCGTCCGGGCCAGTAAAATGTTGTAGTTCACAGCATTGTCTCGCAAAATTGACGTATTTTACACTAGCCCGTCAACATCCCCGGAATCGTTTCAACATCCCCCGCATGTCCGACCAACATCCCCAACATCACCAACAATTCGTGGGCAACAAAGTCTAAAAAGTCGCTGGCGGCTTCACGAGGTCAAAAAAAAGATGATTCAAATAGGAGGGCATTTCAATCGCTGTAAAACAATCTAAAAAGTAGCGGGGAGGTTGGGGGGGCGGCAGCCCCCCCCCCCAATGATGTTTGAAGAAGTGATGATTCAAATAGGGGCAGTTTTTAATTCTCTGCAAACAATCTAAAAAAAAGCGGGGGGGTTGGAGGGGGGAAGCCCCCCCTTCATGTTCGAAGAAGTGATGATTAAAATAGGGAGAAACTGGTGACGCTGAGGATGCGGGAAGCCAAAGCCAAAAACCAAAAAGCCAAAGCCCGGAGAGGAACTGAGAAAGCAGAGGATGCAAAAAGCCAAGCCACAAACAACCGCCGCCACCTGGCGGAGAGGAACTGGGAATGCAGAGGATGCGAAAAGCCAAGAAAAGCCAAGAAAAGCCAAGAAAAGCCAAGAAAAGCCAAGAAGCCAAGAAGCCGAAAAGCCAAGAAGCCGAAAGCGAGAAGAAAAAAACAAAGAACATAAAATAAATACCCCTCCAGGGAAAAATGTTGGCACCCAACTTGATTTGCGCCATCGCCCCTGGGCCCCCGAACCAGCGCAGGCCGGTCACGGCCATCTGGAAGTTGTCTGCGAGACGTAACCCCAACTCGGTGAAAAAAGGGAACCACTTAACAAGTGGACTGAGCAACTGGCTGACCCAAAAGGACCACTGACCCACTAAGCAACTTCCTTTTTGGAGTGCACCAAAACAAAAAGTGAGCCCAAAAATAAAGGGTTGGCGGAAAACCCACTGAGCAAGTGGGTGACCTTGTTCGGGAAACTGCAGAGCTCCTGCCCAAAAACATCAACTGCAGTCCAACTCTTAATGGCCCCTGCTGCAGTTTCCATGAACATCCCTACCAAGGAGTCTTTTGATCATAGGACAA